AATAGCAACGAACATCTGTTACAAATTATAAAATACTGGATTTCTAAATTTTGAATAATTCGAGCAGGCTAATGAGGGCCAGGCATAAGCGTCGAAGTACCCATTCAAGAAATTAGAGGAAAGCTTAGTTTTCAACCGATTGAAGTTAGTGTAGCTGAGAGTGCTTCTCAGATGGACGGTCCGAAATTCTCGATAGGCACTATAGGAGAGGAGTGACGGAACAGCCAGCTTTTGTTATATTTTCTTCCATTGAATTTAGAGATTGGCTACTATCTTTGGTATATCGACAAAAAGGGTTACCAGTCCCTCATCGATGATAATTTGATGAATAGCAGCGCTCTAAGCCAGTGGGAATGGATGATGAAAAACACTTCTTATCAAATTGTCTAAATGGAAATATGAGTACTTTTAGGTAATCATCCCCATCCAGTAAAAATAGATTTTCGATAGAATCCGCCTTATTTCATATAATGCACAAATGACAAAAAAGATGCTCAGGACCAAAACAGGGATTTTGTCCATAAGAATTCGGCGTGTATGTATTGATCTCCAACTTGTGCCTTAATAGCGTTTCACCCAATGTGCTGTAGTTACAGAAATTGGCCAATGAAGAGTGCGTCATATAGTTAAAATCACGAAAGATGACTATTACGTCATAACATGAATTGTACTGAAGTAATCAATGGACGTCAATGATAAAATCACGATGTCAGCAACATATTGACAACAAATTTAAATTATGATTTTGCGAAGTTAGGTTATTTCACTGATTATTTTTATTTTCATTTTACTTCATGGTTTTGAATGATACCTTGATAATCATTTTAGTGGGGAGCTTTTGTTTTGAAAAAAAAACGTGTGAGGAGAATACCTTAAGACAGAATAATTGACAATACGTCATATTTTTGCTCGTGAGAGTTTTCAAGTTTCTCAATAGAAAACCCGATTTAAAAACATGGAGATAGACTCTGGAGGTCAAAGTAATGTTCCCCCAGCGTCCCCGATGATGAATGAACCCAGCCAGAAGAAGAGAACAGAAATTACCAAGAAATCAAAGGAATTGACACCAGCTGTAGCAGACGAAAAGGACAGAACCATCCAGCGCCAGACCCTGATCATAGAAAGCCAGGCCCAGCAAATAAAGGAGCTGACTGAGACAGTTAGGGATCAAAACAGTAAAATAGACTGTCTGACCACCCAGGTAACACAGTTAACAAATAATGCAAATTTTAATTCTAAATCTGACAAGGCTGTCAATTTAAAAAGACCTCTTGAAAATTTATCTGACGTGACATCGATCGACGATTAAATACAGAATGACGGATTCATCCAGGCCAAGTCTAGGAAAAGACATCGACAAAATGAACAAAACCGAGAAGACGGATGACTTCCCACCTCTTCCAAAAGCATAATCAAAATTCAAGTTGACAGTCCCCTCAAAACCTTCTGCTTCATTAAACGTATCAACTTCTTCTGCCACTTGTCCTATGACGGTCGATGCAGCGACCACATCTTCTCAATCTTTGGCCACTGCATCGACTGAAAGTGCATTATCCCAACAATCTCACGTTGCTGGTAAGTTGAACAGCACAGCACCCCGCGAATCACGCCCATTGTTTTGCAGGATGCGACCAAGTGGCGACATCTAAACTGCACCTTTATAAGCTTAGGCGCAGTTGCCGTTGATGCGGGAATCAGGATTTTGCCGAAAACTGAGGATGACTACCAAAGAATCGTTCGCCTGTTCAAGGAGGAGGACGTGCCCCATCATACGTTCCCTCTTCCTTCAGAACGAAATATTCACGCCTTAGTCAGAGGCATACCCGCAATGTTTTCGGAACAGGAGATCAAAGGGGAATTAGAACAGAGGGGATATACTCCTCTCCACATTATCCGACTCAAACGCAGTGGCGGCGCACCCATACCTTTGGTGGTCGTGATACTGCCCAAGATTGAAAAGTCCCAGCAGCTGTTCAATGATCATGAGCTGCTGGGTGCAGAGTTTAAGTTCAAAAGAACTCTAGAGTTATTGGGCAGTATCAACGCTGCCAAAGGTATGGCCATGCGCAGTCTTACTGCACAGCACTTCCCAAATGTTTAAAATGTGCTTCCGACCACATGACACATTTATGCCCCCTCACAGGACAAGAGGAGCGAAAGTGAAAAATTATTACAGTATACAAAACCAAAATTATTTTTTGGAGTTACAAAATAATTCGAGTAGTCAAAGCAATAATGCTTAAGCTATTTCAAATGATTTACTTATTTTCTTTGCTGTATTTCTTCCTTCCTTTCTTTCCTTCTTTCCCTTTTACCCTTAAACATGTTTGCTATCTGGGTAGCCAGACCTGACAGACTAACAGACCGACGAGACTATTAACTAAGAGCAAAGGTCCACCGGACCGCTTTGACGAATAATGACGAATAGTAGTACCTACAGGCATCAACACCAAAGACCGAAATATTATTCGAAAACTACCTAACCTGCTTTAACATATCCTAACTATTCATCTTTCAAATATGATCGATCATGCAACATGGAAACATCGTCTATCTTTGTCGGATACATGCAAATTAGCAATACAGTTTGTTTAGACAATAAAATTCTGTTTGTCTTTCTCTAACATATCTGAAACTTCATTAAAAATATTCACACACGCTGTCGTTTGTCTGTAGTACAGACTAAAATGATGACGTAATCGTCATCTTTCGTGATTGCGACTATAGTGATCTAATTAAGTTCAAAAATTCTGTTTTCTTGACTTCATGACGTGGTGTTTTACTTTAATGAGTTCTAGGATCTATTAAGGCTGCATTTTATTAACCAACTGCCACACAAGAACAGATATACTGAGTGACAAAAAAAGGTAAACACCTGATTATGTTTATCCGATTTTAATAATTTTTAGCATGTATGTTCAGTGTTCCTTACTATTGAAGTGTTTAAATTTTTAGCTTGATTCAACTAACTACAGAAGCTGGTTCAATAATGTGTTGGGGATCCACGATTTCTTATACACTGATTGACATGCCTCGGCATCATGCTGATAAGGTGGACGATATTCTGTTTGGGTATCTCATTCCAGGCTACTGCAGCTTCTTGAGTAAGAGCTGCTAAAGTCTGTGGAGAGTGTTGCAAATTCAAGAGCTAGCGACCTATCATGTCCCAGATATGCCCAATTGGAGATAGGTCAGGCGATCGTGGTGGCCAAGGTAAACGGTTGATGCGATGTTGATCCATGAAGGCTAACGATGCTCTGGCAACATGTGGTTTGGCATTGCCTTGCTGAAAAATCGGGTTTTGGATGGTGTTAAGGTATGGAATAAGATGAGGCTCCACTACTTCCTAAATATAGTGTCGGGCTGTCATATTACCTGTGATAAAAATTAGTGGTGATCTGCTACCATAAGCAATAACACCCCATGCCATAGCTCCGACGGTGTGGTGAACGTGACGTTCTCTGTCAAATTGTGGGTCACGCCGCCTTCTCGCTCTTGCCCGACCATCGTGCATCTCCAGACAGAAGCGGGTTCCAAAGATCACCTGATTCCATTCCCGGTCCTATAGAATTCTTTCTGGGCGAAAAAAGGTTAAACTGTCGTATTCAGCAATATAGCGTACGAATACCTACCATCCTCCCATGCTTTCAAACCACTGATTAGCGATGGCTCGAGTACTACTAAATCTGTCTCTCAGAGCCAGAAGTCTTAACCGGCGGTCTTGTCGCTCTGTGGTTCCTCTGGGACGTCCAGAACCCCTCGCTCGCTGTCCTCGGCCTCCCCTAGTCCACGCTCGTTCTCGCTGCTGTATACTGCGTAAAGATCTGTTGGTCCACCTAGAAAGTCTCTTATCGATAGACCGGCTTCATGCAACACGACAATTTGACGGCGTTCAAAGTCACTTAGCAGGCACACCCTGCTAATTCTACGCACTCTAGACATTTTGAGCAATCACAAGGAGATTTCTCGATAAGTTACTGTTACGTTTGGCGTCAGTTGCTACGTTTGGCGCCAGTTACTACGGGTGCGGGTGGTCGAGACGACGCGATTGATCGGTGATCAGCCGCCAACTAGTTTAGGAATGCCTATTATGTGCTGTAAAAAGTACTACTACTATACAATCGCCGTGACTACTCAAATGTTCAGCCTGTCGAATTGTCTGTAAAACTGTTACAATGAAAGACATTACAAGGTTCAGACTAAAACGATATATATTTCCTGAAAAGACAATGCCGTATGCTAAGTATAAGAATCTCACGAAAACAGAGGTCGGTTACCTTATATGTCACCTCCTAGGACTACCAGAAGTCGTACACTTGTTTTGGGATATGCTATGTCTAATATTACACAATTTACTGGACAAGGTGATGTTTTACGTAAGAAGGGGGGCCCAGAGTGGATAATCTTACAGCGAACAAATCTGGTACTATATTTCAGCTGTCCAAGAAACCTGAAGTCTTACATAGACGTTATAGTCTAGTCTGACCTGTAATCTCTGGAATAACTTGTTGCAGGTCCCTTGGTGGTGTTAACCAGCCCTCATGTGGTAAAATGTAGGAATGTAGCAGATAGCCAGCCCAAGCGGTACAAGTTTCAAGCGATGCTAGGATCATTATAGCAGTTTATCTTCTGAGGTTGCAGAATGTAGTTCTCGTCAAATCCTGATCTCAGTTATGTACGAAGAATGAAGAAGAGAACGTACAAGAAGTAGAAGATGCTGAAGGAAAGATGAACAAGAGAAAAAGAAAAAAAGGTCTAGGGTGTAGGGTGGCCTTTAAAGCGGAGGTAAATCTTCCAATCTTAGTGATCCCACAATACTAGTGGTGCGAACGCCTACAGCAGATGAAATTGTGAAGATTTTCCTTTTATTTAGCTATTTTTAGGAACCAAATCCGCACTTGCGAAACAGACCCTCTGTTCGATAACGAAAAATTGCAATGGCGATCTTTATTTCCTTCCTTGTTGCGCGCGTCTCGCGCCTGACATTTCCACGCCAGTTGGCATGCTATAACTTTCACCTTTGACAGTGACAGCTGACTTGACATCTGTCCACAAATTTCATTGCTACAAAGGTTGTAAAGTTATAAACAATGACTAGTGTTGCTTCAGAGGCACTAACCTATAAAAGGGAACAAGTAATGTGACTACAATAGTGTGAGTTAAGTACCTGCTACTTATTAAGCTTTGTTTCAGGCTCACTAGGGCAGGTTCATCAGAAGGGAAGGGATCAACAGGTGAAAGCAGAAATATAAAATGCCATGTACAATGTACATACTCGTATATATCCCTATACACAACAAATTTTAACAAGGGTATGGGATCCATATATTTGTAATAAAAAACGGGTATTCCGAATTATTCCAATATACTCCGAAATTACATTCGCTCAATACCACGTCTAATTTTTAACTAACTCAAAAAATATCCCTCGCTCCGTACTATTGGCATCCAGCATTCCACATAAAAACACAGGTTACGGATACGAGGTCTCGCCGATAAGTTCTAGCATAAACAACTATATCGAGTAATACATAATAAATGCAACGTACTGCTAAGGAAATATTAACATAGTAACAATAATAACATATTCTTATCTATCTATGTATATCGTAACTAGTAAACGAGTAAGCAGTAGAGAACCTTCTAATTCGTAAAATCTATGCAACTATAATTGATCGATCAAACGAACTTACCTGAAGTGAAGTTCGATCGTAATTATACGAGGGTCCAGTCCGAAGACATCACTTTGTTTATTCACTATGTAGTCCGCCCCTGGAGTACGATCCGCGCACCAAGTTGAAAGACGAGAATCCCCACCTCCTCGCCGCGCCCTGGCCACTCGCGTTGAATCATTTGTTTAAAGAAATGGTACTTGCTCGCAACTTGGGAGGGTTGCATATAGGGTGGGGGTGATGTCTTCGGACTGGACCCTCGTATAATTACGATCGAACTTCACTTCAGGTAAGTTCGTTTGATCGATCAATTATACTTTGGGTCCAGTCCGAAGACATCACTTTGTTTATTCACTATGTAGATGTTTAAAGATGAGATAGAGTTGCGAGCGAGTTGATGATATAAAAAGTACAAGTATACAAACACAAAAAAGGCAAAAACATATATTCTGCATTCTCATAAACAAAAGCAAAAAACAAGGGGTCAATTTTTAACATTTACCCTAATAGTAATATTTTTTCAAAAAACAACTAGAGTACCTAAAGTACGTCACAAACTCTTAAACTGTTCTAACTAATCAGGCATTTATGTCCAAAATGGCATTTGCAAACTCATTGTTGGTTTGTAAAGGACGATTATAAAACTTTGCAAATGTGGAATGTTGCGTCCAACCAACTGTTTTACATATACTATCTACGGAAACGCCTTTTCTTAACGCCGTTGAGGTAGCCGCATGCCTGACTGAATGAGGCGTAAAAAAGTGTTGTGTTGACACCCGCCGATGCAAGAGTCTGTTTTACCCATCTGCTTAAAGTGTCTTTGGACGCCCTGGTATGTGGTTTTTTATATGTCACGAATAGAAAATCGTTGTCGGGTTCTCTCAAGCTAGCTGTTCTGTCAATATATTCCTTCAGGATGGTGGCTACGCACAGGAAAGGGTTTTGTTGAAAAACCGGTATATGCAAGGTTGGTTGAGGTTTCCCAATTCGACTGGTTTTAATTGGGTCTGAAATATTAATGGTAGTTTCGCTGGGACCATGGGAGGTATGTGAAAGACGAATAAGAGAAATTGTCTGGAGTCTTTCTCCTGTTATTAGAGCTAATAACGTTGTCAATTTTTGTGACAGACTTTGGAGGCTAAGTGGAGATGGTAACTTTTCTAGATAACTTAGGAGAGGTATAGGATCCCAGGTGGCCGAATATTTTTGGCCGAGAAGGCCGTAAACGATGAATGCCTTTTTTGAAGCGTCTAATTATAGGATTGGATGCTAAATCAGTTGAGCAAATTAGTGAAAGAGCAGATGTATGAGAATTAAAAGTGCCAGACGTGAGGTTTTTCTTCTTTGTCAACTCTTGCAAGAATGACACCACGTCTTTGATTGTGGGTTTAAAGATCGAAATGTCATTACTAAAGCAAAATTCCCACCACAATTTGTAGGAGCTGTTATATTGCTGCAATGTGGATCTGGAGACTGAGGCGATGATTGTAGAAATAGCAGATTCCGGCACCTCTCTACTCAAAAACGCTTGCCTGATAACTTCGCTGCTACCAGGGTAAGGGTTTTCGACAGCGGATGTGACCTGGAAACCGCACAAGATAGTAAATCAGGTGAAGGGGGAAAATGAATTTCTTGGTCGATCAATAACTGACGGAAAAGTGGGTACCAAGGTTGTGAAGGCCACCAAGGAACCACCAAAATTCCGACAGCCTTATCCTGAATTATTTTTTGTAAAACTCGGAGAATTAAGGTAAAAGGGGGGAATGCATAAAAATAAAAACTGTTCCAGCGAATTGTAAACGCATCGATATATGTAGATCCTGGATCTCTATGCCAGGAAGCGTATACCTCGCATTTCGCATTGGTATGAGAGGCAAAAAGATCGATCTCTGGTTTTCCGAAGATGTCGGTTAAATGGTCGAAGGCAGTTTGAGATAATGACCATTCCGTTTCAAAATTCAAGCTCCTGGACTCATCGTCTGCTATAGCGTTATCTTTAGATGGGATGTATGATGCAAAAAGCCAGAGATTTCTTTCCTCACACCATTGCCAAATTTGTTTAGCCAGAGAACATAGCTCTGGAAACCGAACACTCCCCATTCTGTTAATGTAAGAAACGGCTGTTGTATTGTCGCATCGAATTAGAATATTGCAATTTTTTTAAAAGTTTTGCATAACACTGGATGCCGTAAAATATAGCCCATAATTCCAAATTATTTATATGCAATAGTTTTTGGGAGTCGGACCAGAAACCGTGGGTTCTATCCTGGCCAGAGCAAGCCCCCCATCCTGTTAGCGATGCGTCGGTAAAGATGGTGATATGAAAGGAATCATACCTTATGTCATTGAAAGCTGTTGAAATGTGATCTTTCCACCATGAAATATCGCTCTTTATGTTTTCAGGAATAGCCATACTTGCGTTATAATTTCCATTGTTTTTCTCTAAAGCTAAGAATTTTTCCCTTTCTAGAGATTTGCAATAAAGAAACCCGTATTTCACACCAGGACAAGCCGACACCAAGGTGCCAATGAACCTTGCCCAGTCGCGAATTCTACATCTCGATTGGTTCAAATAATATGAGGCTAACCTGAGGATGTGATTTTTCTTTTCGGCAGGAAGTTCAATTGTTAAATTAACACTATCTATCAGAAAGCCGAGGAATCTTATACGAGTAGTGGGTACCAGAATGCTTTTGCTGTTATTGATGATAAGACCCAATGAGCTTAAAAACCGAATGGTTGTGCTAACATTATTAAGGCAGGATTCATAGGAAACTCCAAAGATTAGAAAATCGTCTAAATAATTGACTGTAGAGATGCCTAAATTGCGGAGAAAAGAGACGACTGGCTTCATAAGCTTTGTGAAACATAACGGAGCTGTACATAACCCAAACGGTAGGCAAGTGAATTGATACAATTGGCCATCAAAGTAGAATTTTAGAAATTGTTGATGGTCGCTGTGGACAGGTACTAAAAAATACGCATCTCTCAAGTCGATTGTGCACATGTACACGTTTTTATGAGTCAATTTTATAGCCGTACGAAGGTCCTCCATTTTGAAATGCGGGCATTCCACATATTCATTTAACTGTTTCAGGTTTAATATAAATCTTTTTCCCCCGTTGGATTTATCTGCAAGAAAATATGGAGAGATAAATTGATCGGGCCTTGACTCAGATTTGATTATGGCCCCGGACTTCTGCAAGTCGCGTATAGCTACTCGAACTAGCGATGTTTCTGTCGAAGAAAAATTATTTGTGCCCAAAGGTTGACGTAATGGAGGTGTGCCTTTAAAGGGAATCCGGTAACCTTGAATCCAGGATAAGACTATCGGATTTGAAGTTAGTTTTGACCAAGAGTTGAGGTAAAATTGTAGCCGACCAGCAAATAGAGCTTGTTTTACCTTCAACGTTTTCTGGACTGCTGTTGTCTGTTCGGAGCAAACTGTTTTGAGGAATTGCCCTTGTGCTGCCTCACCTCCCTCTTGCGGTAAGACGGGCGATACCTGTTTAAAGCGCCTACATTCTTTGACGAGTTGCCTCCCCCCCCTCTTCTTTCAGGATTACTGAAAGACCGAGTCACTTGAGAGCTACTGCGTGAGGGGATAGAGGACAAACGTAGGTCCTGTCCGGCCTTCTCCAAAGATTTCAAATTTTTCGCCCGCTCACCTAAATCTGGCCCGAATAAGAACTCCCCTGGTAAGGTGTTTTCAGTCAGTTCTTTAACTGATTTGTTGAGTACTGGGCTGATCAGGTACTTTCTAGTTTTAGAGATGTCGTGAAAGAGTGCCGCCAAGATTCGCGCAGAATCTGTCAAATTCGATAAAATCTTTTCCTTGGTATCCTTGGGAATCTGGGTTTCTTCTTCCAAAATGACGTTAAAAGCTTTCCCCATGGCGGTCAGTCCGGTACCAATGTTCAATTGGTACCCGGAATGGGTGGCATCTCTCGTTAAATGAGTAGAAGAGAGAATGGCTTTCACTTCGGGGTTTATCTTCGGAGGGTGTAAAGAGGCACAGTTAGAAGGCACAATGTGTTTTTCTCTAATGATGGTGGTGTCCTCGGTGGAAAGTCCGTTGGCCAAAATGTGGGACCATCGAGAAGCTAAGGCACCGTGTAGTTGGAAGTTAGACCTATTGGCTTTTTTAGGGTCTACACCCAGGATATTTAATATGTCTTCCGATAATGGGAGACACTCACCTTCACTAAGCATCAAAACATCCTCCATATCATTTTTCTCAGTTGGTACCGTTCCCAAGTCCGGCCCTGTCAGAATCTGAGCTTCCGCCTCGCACGGAGAACGGCCAGCCGAGTCTACCTGACGCTGTACCTTATCAGATGGGCTGCCTGAGTTTTTCTCTTGACGCAAATATTCCCGTCTCTCTCTACGTCGCCTCGACACGCTCGGTGATCGACTGCGACTGTTACTACTCCTAGAACGTGACCTTGAACGCCTACGGCTGATGCGAGAGCGGGAGCGTCTAAAATGATGAGGTGAATTGGTACGAGACATGGATCTGCTGTGTCGACTCTTTCGGGATAAACTTCTCGAATTAGTGCGAGAACGATAACCACCTGACCTTGCCTCGAGCTCCTCCTGTAAAATGGCCCGAATCATGTCTCTCAAGGAGCTGGGTGAATTGGCCTCCGAAATTCCTGATTTTTCCATGGTTTCTGTTAAACAAGTATAACCATTGGTTAACGTATTCAATCTGGTTGAATACGCCAATCAATTATGT